TTATTAATCACCATTGAATGGTCTGTCTGATGATAAAATAGTAAATTAAACGAGGTTTTATGCGTTTATGGGTTTGAATTCCTCCAGATACTAATGAATAATAAGGATAGTCACTTAAGTTCTTATCCTGTATATATAAACTAGTTTAAACACTTTCGATGATTAAAAAAAAAAAAAAAAAAAAATCTTTTTTATTAATTTTGTACCAGAAAATACCGAGTTGATCATGTGCAAGGATATTGTCATTGAGAGAAAAATATCAAGAAAATTATAATCAAGCCGGTGAAATAGGGCAAGTGGGATTAGAGAAATGCAAGGTAGGGTTAGCAGTCGTGTGAAGGAGGGAATAACATGAATATAAAACGACAGTCCACGGAAATGAATGGTTTCAAAAGAAAAGTTTGACCAAGATTGGGATCACATTAATATTCTCATATCTATAGTCAACATTCAAAAACAAATAATGAAATGCTGTTTTCATTCCAACTAAAGTATAATATCTGAAGGTTCGTGTTACTTGCCACCTTTCCAATTCATTTGTCTTTGTCTTAATCGTACACCATCCCAATTCCATTGACTTTACTAAATCCATTGACTTCCACTTATAAATGTTACAATTAAATCAAGGTGCTACAAAAACCCCCATATGTAGTTCAAGAACTACCAAATTACTAGGGGTATTCGATTCTTGGTACCTTGTATTTTTTGAAGGAATCAAAACTGGAACCGAAACCGGAACCAACGGTTCCTTGAAATTTAAAATCGGACGGTTCTGGTTCCTAGATACCCCCAACTAGAACCTATAACAACGGTTCCGGTTCCGGTTCTAGGTATCCTATAAAATTCATGACCCTCAAAAGTTTTTGGAATGGAAAAAAAACCCTTAAAAACTTACAAATACCCCCCACCTGGCACTTGTTAACAAAAATAAAATTATAAATTATAAATTCAAAATTACAAACTTTATTATTTTGTAAAGGTAGATTCTCAAAAGTCAAACCAACTTACTTTAAATGTTATGAAATATAAATATAAATGTATTAACATTACTTTTTCTACAAAAGTTTTTATTAACCCTCCTAATCTTTAATTTTATTTTATATTAGTCTCGGTTCTTGGTTCCTGGTTCTGGTTCCGGTTTCTAACTATAGGAACTGGAATCGAAACCGCATAATAACGGTTCCAAAAATTTGGAATTGGAACCTACCCATTGACGGTCGGTTCTGGGTAAGAACCAAAACCAAACCCCGGATACCTACTGATTTCGGTTCCAACAAGTTCTTTTGAAGACCCCTACAAATTACCTCTCTCTCACTACTATGTTAATCCGTGTCCAACGGTTGCCAATCTGTCAAGCCACCGCACTGAAGTCCTATCAATCCATCTATCACCTTAATATATTGGGAGTGCGTTTAGGTTGTTGTAGTTTAGGAAATAAATTATCCTTTTTAATCATTTTAAAATCCTAATTTATCAAACATATCATTATAGATTTTAAAAATCACAGCAATTAAAAGATTTTATTTTCAGAAATGATTATTTCAAAATTGGAAAAAATTAACATCTCGTACCCAAGGATATCAACCAAATTTAATCTTTTTTGGACGTATTTAATTGAGTGAACGACATATTCCCACCCGAAGTTTAACAAAATCTTAAATTGATACCCTTGATTACATTTATTATAGATTCTCACTCTAAAAGTAACACCATAAGTTATTGTTGGATGTGGTCGAAAACGGTGAGTGAGATCGACAAGTGAAGAAATAGATTTTGTAGAGGAGGTTATGGAAAGTCCAATGGTGGTCTTGGAAGTAATTTTGGACTTTGGAATTGACTAAAAAAAGCCAAAAACTAGCTTAGATGCTATTAATATAAACCACGTTTTGCTAAAATTAGCCCATCTTCTACCAAAGAAAACGTCATTGCATTTTAGAGTGCTAACGTGCGTCGCGCTACAGTAAAAAGTTAAAAATCTATTGAAATAAAAGAAACGACAATATTTTAAAGGTAAAAATCTGGAATAAATGCAATCATAAGTACTAACTTGAGAAATTATTTTAATAGATTGTCAATATTTTTTATTTTATCAGAGAGTAAGATAATTAAAATAAACAAAAAGTTGTTTCTAACATTAGATTAGATCTGATAAAATATGTAAAGAATTAATGTAAAATATATTTTTTAAATAAAAGACAACCCTTTTCATTACAAAAAGAAAAACACCTTTGTAACTAGATAGTAAGAAACCGGCTGCTTGATTTTGGATTTATTATTAATTTCTCTCCAATATCAAGTGGGCAAGACCCACCTGTCATGATACAGCTGATCTGTAATGGAACATGACAACAAATTTGACTGATCTTACAATCGCAATTTCATCAGTGGCAAAACTGCAATTATATTCTTTTCTTGGGTCATTTTGATTCCCAAAACCTTACTTATTAGCCCGGCCGCACACTCTCCTCCGCTAACTAAATTTCAAATCGCAATTGCAGTTTGTCCCGGCAAAAACTCCATCGGAGCAACTAACTGAAATCATTTGAAATGCCTAAACTACGCTCCCCATTTCTAGTACTGCTGCATACTCACTTCACTCTCCTTCTAATATCCATACCCTTCCAAGTAAATTCACAAATCCCAAACACAGAAGAACTAACCATCCTCCTCAACATTAAGCAAGAACTGGGAAATCCACCATCTCTCAGTTCCTGGAACGCCACGTCATCACCGTGTGACTGGCCTGAAATCACCTGCATAGAAAATTCGGTCACCAATATTTCGTTCCAGAACAAAGCCATCACCCAAAAAATCCCACCAACAATATGCAACCTGAAAAACTTAACCTATCTTGACCTTTCCTTGAACAACATCCCTGGAGAGTTTCCAGATATCTTGAACTGCACCAGACTTGAAATCCTGGACCTCTCTCAGAATCTTTTCGTGGGTCCGTTACCAAACGATGTCGACCGCCTTTCGGCTCTCCAATACATCAATTTTGGGGCTAACAACTTTTCTGGCTACATACCTCCGAGTATAGGCCGATTGTCGGAGTTGCAGGTGTTGTATCTTTATCAAAATGAATTCGACGGCACGTTTCCGAAAGAAATCGGTAACTTATCTAATCTCGTAGTGCTGGGTTTGGCCTTTAATGAGAAGATGAAACCTGCAAGTATTCCAGTCGAATTTGGAAAGTTAAAGAAGTTGCAGACTCTGTGGATTAATGAAGCAAACTTGATGGGCGAAATCCCGGATTCTCTCACCAATCTTACGAGCCTTGAAACTCTGTCTTTAGCAATAAACCAGTTGACAGGTCCTATTCCTAGTGGATTGTTTTCGTTAAAGAACTTGACAAGCTTGTATCTCTTCCACAATAAACTATCTGGTGAGTTGCCAAACTCGTTTGAAGGTCGGAATTTGGTTGAGCTTGATCTTTCGGCGAATAATTTGACCGGTTCCATACCAGAAGACTTAGGGAAGCTACAGAATCTGCGACTGTTTAATCTCTTTTCAAATCAATTTTCTGGAAAGTTGCCTCCAAGCATAGGCCTGATGCCTTCACTGACAGGTTTTCGTCTGTTCGAAAACAAGTTGAGTGGAGTCTTGCCACCAGAAATAGGCCTCCATTCAAAGCTTGAAGCATTTGAGGTGTCATCTAATCAATTCAGTGGTCAACTACCTCAACATTTATGTGCTGCAGGTGTTTTGACAGGAGTTGTTGCTTTCTCTAATAATCTCAGTGGAGAGGTGCCAAAATCGCTTGGAAATTGTAGCTCTTTGCGCACCGTCCAACTTTACGACAACAAGTTCTCCGGTGAGATTCCTTCGGGCATTTGGACAACCTTCAATCTGTCAAGCTTGATACTGAACAACAATGCTTTTTCGGGCGAGTTACCTAGCAAATTGGCATGGAATTTGACAAGGTTGGAAATCAGTGACAACAGATTTTCAGGTCAAATTCCTGCTGGAGTTGCTTCTTGGAAAAATTTGGTTGTTTTTAAGGCAAGCAACAACCTCTTCTCAGGTGAAATTCCGGTTGAGTTGACTAGTCTTTCTCGTCTCACTACTCTACTACTTGATCGCAATCAACTTTCAAGTACACTTCCTTCCCGTATAATCTCGTGGCAGACACTTACCACTTTGAATCTTTCCAGAAATGAATTTTCTGGTAAAATTCCTGCAGCATTTGGGTCTTTACCTGACCTGCTTTATTTAGATCTATCCGGGAACCAATTCTCCGGTGAAATCCCACCTGAATTCGGTAGGTTGAGGGTTACCATTCTCAACCTGTCCTCCAACAAACTTTCAGGAAAGATCCCACCTGAGCTCAATAACCTTGCATATGAAGACAGTTTCTTTAACAACTCCAATCTTTGCGTCGATACTCCTATTCTAAATCTTCCAAGTTGTAACACCAAACTCCGTGACTCCGGCAAAATTTCGCCCAAACACCTAGCCTTGGTTTTAACTCTTGTATTCTTTGTTCTCTTGGTTGCTATTCTATTGGGCTTGTTTGTCATTAGAGACTACCAAAATAGAAGGCAAAAGCAAGATCTTGCAACATGGAAACTCACCTCATTCCATAGACTGGACTTCACAGAATCAAACATTTTGTCAAATTTGACAGAAAGTAATCTGATCGGAAGTGGGGGCTCAGGACAGGTGTACCGGATTGCCGTTAACCGTTCAGGTGAATTTGTTGCTGTGAAGAGGATCTGGAACAACAGAAAACTGGATGAAAAGTTGGAAAAAGAATTTATTGCAGAAATTCAAATATTGGGCACAATTCGGCATTCAAATATAGTTAAGTTGTGGTGCTGTATTTCAAGTGAGAACTCAAAGCTTCTTGTATATGAGTACATGGAAAACCATAGCCTGGATAGATGGCTTCACGCAAGGAAGAGAAGATCCGCGTCAACAGGGACCAATTCGGTCCATCATGTTGTTCTGGATTGGCCAACAAGACTTCAGATTGCCACTGGAGCTGCACAAGGTCTATGCTATATGCACCACGACTGCTCTCCGCAGATCATTCACCGAGATGTTAAGTCTAGCAATATCTTGTTAGACTCTGAATTCAAAGCAAAAATTGCAGACTTTGGACTGGCTAAGATGTTGGCTAAGCAGGGAGAGCCTCACACAATGTCTGCAGTTGCAGGCTCTTTCGGTTATTTTGCTCCAGGTAAGAAACATTTACAAACTGTTAACTTTTGTTTTTTCAATAACACCAATAGTAACACCCGCTTTAACCCAATTCTGTTATTTCATTGCAGAGTATGCTTACACAAAAAAAGTGAACGAAAAGATTGATATTTATAGCTTTGGAGTGGTACTGCTGGAGTTGGTGACAGGAAAAGAACCTAACATCGGAGATGAGCATTCAAACCTTGCAGAATGGGCATGGAGACACTATGCAGAAGAAAAGCCTATCATGGATGTTTTTGACCCGGAGATAAAGGAATCAGATTACCTGGAACAAATGACCAACGTATTTAAACTAGGACTTATTTGTACAAGCACCTTGCCAAACGATAGGCCTTCCATGAAGGATGTTTCGGAGATTCTTCGTCGGTGTAATCCTGCAGAAGCTTATGGAGGGAGAAAGACAGAAAGGGAGGTTGATGCTGCTCCCCTTCTTGGCACTGCTAATTATCTTTATAGTTATAAGCGTAGTAAGAAGGTAACTGATGGGGAAGAAAATGATAGTCTCGTATAAAATTGCATTAAGATTTTGAGTGTTGCTTTAGAAGGAGTCCTTATACCACTTGTAGTTTTTACTCTGCATTAAGATTTTGAGTGTTGCTAACTATCTTTATAGTTATAAGCGTAGTAAGAAGGTAACTGATGGGGAAGAAAATGATAGTCCTAAATAAAATTGCATTAAGATTTTGAGTGTTGCTTTAGAATGAGTCCTTATACCACTTCAAGTTTGTAAAATGGAATTCCTGTCCACTAGGTTTAGTTCTCGTGTATATATTTCTAGTTAATGCATGTATAGATCTCAATTTTGTCCTTCAGCACTTCTATATTTTTCGAATAGTTGAGTCGTGAAACCATTTGACATAACAAGTTCACAACCCAAATAGCACAGATTTAAGAATGCCAAACCCTAGAAAATACTTCCAAGATTTTGACAACTCAAAATCTCAGCCAACGCTTCCTGATTCTGCAAACCAACAATGTAAATACTCTTATTACAACAAAAATATTTAACAACGGACCATAATAAAAAGATGCATTTCTTAGTTTATTTTTTTATTGTTTGGGGGAGAGGAGATAATTGTCACAATAAAAAGTGTATTACAAGGAAGCAAGTGTAGTAGTGTACATTACATAACTACGAACGGTTAAAAGTGATTGTCGTAAAATCTAAAACATACAGGACAGAAATCCAGACCACATCCAACAGGCTATTGTTTTATATACACGTCCCAATTAAACGACTCATAAAATGAGTAAAGCACAGCTCTAATAGTGGACAAGAAGTCTATAAAGCACCAGTGTACATAAAGAGTTTCTTGGGCACCCCCGATCATTGCACAGCACAACAAACACCTAAAACAATAGGCTAATTCTCCAGTTATGCATGGTTCTCTGCATGGTTGACTGCATTCCAACTTGGCAAGGCTGTCACCCCTTTTGAACTATTTTCTGAAGTGAGCATGATTGCACTATTGTGCACGCACATGTTGAAATATAACGCAGGCCTGCAATAAATGAGGAACTTACCAAGGTGCTTTATCTCATTCTGCCATAGCAGTGATTTTACAGAATGCTGCATTTCCCAAACTTTATGCCGTTGTCCCCAAACTCAATCTGCCACAACAAAAACAACAGAAACCAAAAGGAAAGCATAAAAAAATCACAATTTGAATTAAAAAGAATTGTGGGTGTCAAAAACACATGCCTTATCACCGGCTTCGGCAAAGATTCTGACCTAGCTCCATCATTGGACAATGGTTCCAAGTGCATTATTTGTCTGGATAGAACAAGGCGTGTAAGAAGTCGACTTGGGTGCCCAACAACATATTAGAGATAAGAAATAAGTGAACGAGTCATGTATATGATCCTCAAACACAAAACATAATCAGGTTCTTAAGCACAGTTACTGGAAATATAGCACGTATGGTGGTACAGAACCTGCCACCACATATGCACCAGTCAGGAGAGTGCTTGAGTAAAACATTTAACAAGTTCAAGAAGCAGGAATTTGAGAAAAACACTTGAGGCAATATCAAAAAGATGAAGTCAGCAAAACTAAGAAGCAGAAAAAAAGGTAAAAAGTTGAAATTGTATACATGAAATTAGGTTTCAAATTCAATATAGTCATAGTTATAATCACCCAAGTTGCCTAACTAAACAAAAAAAGTGGTATAAAAACATACAAAATTAAAGCAGCATATTACCCAACTATAACCAAAAGCAGAAACAGGATCTATCAACATAATCAAATTAAGACGAAAGGTAGATTTAGAACCTCCAAGTCCTCTGACAAGCTGTTCTGAAATACCCCGCTTCCATTTAGACATCCATTTTCCAGAAGTGTGCCAAAATCAGCAGCATACTCACCACCCTGCAAAGATTCCTGACTTCACTATCTCCAAAACTTCCTGTGTTCAACTGCCATCTTAACCCAAAATCCTCAAACAGAGAAACTCACCTCGCACTTGAGGTTCTGAGAGCTGGATTTTGTCTCATACACCCTTTCAGCAATTTGTACTATTTCCGTTTGAGTACATGGTTTGACTAGTTCTTGATCAACCTTAACAGCACCCACTTTCCAATCTAACAGTCCTACAGAGGATACAGTCTCCACACCCTCCATGATGGCTGAACCCATATCTCCGGTTTCAGTATTAGGGACTTCACATGAAACAAGCTTAGGGATGGGTTCCACCAATTTGGCCGATGGTACCTCATTGCTAACTACAGGAAAACTGCTTACATGCATCGAAATCCGCTCATTTGAGGCATCTGACTTATGCTCTACAGTTTCACCCAATGGCATGTAAGCTATTGCACTATCTTTTTCACTCACCAAATTCTCACTAGATAAGCTGGCACCTTGAGACGGCAAATGACAAAACCCTGCACTATAGCCAATCTGAGATGCTACACCAGATCTACTTGCATCACTTTCTGGAGAAAAAGACAATGGCCTTTGTGGACTAATAGAGGCCTGCTTCGCGGCTTTGTTTGGCTTCACCTCCTCAGTTTCATGTTTAATTTTCCTCTTAGCATGTCTTCCAAAAGATGCAGACACATCATCACAAGTTTTTCCTTCCTGATCATTTAAGTTCCTAGATGGTCGAGATCGCTTATATCCATCCGGAAACACAAAAGCAGGAAGCTGTCTTCTGCGTACATGAGAAACATATATATCCATCCCAGGTTTCCAAAACATGTACATCCCTATCTCTTGCCTGAAGTCATCAACTGTTCCCCTTATATCGAATTGTTGACGTTCTTGATCACTTACTCCCTCTTTCCTCCGCAAACCCATAAAAAACGCAGAATTTGGGCACTGCTTGGATGTGTCTAAGTATTCATTTGGATATGGATGGCATTGCAGCATCCCATTTGTATCCCGCTCTATCTGTACAGAGATACATGAAAATCAAGTATTAGAAAGGAATCAGACTTTATGTCTTCAATCATTTCAAAAACAATAATCATCAGTAATTCACAAAACTAGGCCGAAAAAACAGCAGGTTATAGCCTCTCAAAATAATATTTTGAGGACATGACTTTTACCTTCAAGGTAAGTTGTCTAAACCGTGACTCCACCCAACCCTTCCAAGCCAGCAAATCATCAGCATCTGCTGCAACTATGTCAACCTGCAGATAGTTCTTGTATGCCTCAAAGAACAGATAAGGCTCAAAAAGAGCACTCCATTGGGCTTTGTTGAACTCAATGTCCTACATTAGAACAAATCAGAAAGGAAAGGACCTCAATAACCAAATGTAGGCAGCTAAAGGAAGACATATAACTAATTATACTCTCACCTCACAGATCTTGTAACCAAACTGGAACTGCTCCATCATAACTCGGAGAGTACTTACAGAGACGTTGTAGCTAGAGTTCATACAAGGATATGCTGGAGTTATAATCGGCATATGATGAGATCGGTCCCGAGGGTTTTTACGAGGATCCCATACTGAGAACCCTAGTTCATCCTCCTCTATTGGACATAGCATGACAGGGTTTGGCCAACGCCACTGCGTGTAAACTCTGAAAAATCGAGAAACCAGCATACTAGGAATTGCATTAGGATAAAATTGGCACACACGTGCAACCAAAAGAGCCCAATTTACACCACCAAGAAATCCAGTAACCTATACACAAAGGAAAAAAAGAAAATGAAAACCATCATACAAAAGTGAAATAGCCATGACAACAACAAAAAAAAAAGGAAAAGGAAAGTTTTTTTTTTTTTTTTTTTTTTTTTTTTTGCTAAGTAAATTGTAATAAAAGGAGGAGGATTTACAAAGGCCTACAAAAAAGGCGGCCAACCTACATCAGGACATTCCCCCGCGGAGGGTGCAAAAAATAAACAAATGAAAAGGAAAGTTTCTCACATTTGAATAAACACCACGCCTTTTAGCCCAAAACTTCAAACATCTGAGCGTTGTGCGAAAGTGCTGCAGTATTTTAAGGAATTAAAGGAAAGCAATACCAACGCGGAATAGAATAATATAGGGCACCGAATATAATATGCTTACCTCAACATTTGGAACATGTTTAAGAATTTGATCTGCAACCCTACACCCATTAAGACTTCGAACAGTTTGCTCATCAACATTACACAGCACAGACATGTGTGAAATGTCAACGTCCTGCAAATAAGTTGATTCCAGAACTATAATGACATCAAACCAAACAGGCAGCAAATATGCATCGACAACATATTGAGAAAGCATTTTCACATGCGAGTGTCAAGGTGCTGTAATGAGTTAGATTTAAAACAGCCAAACCAATCAAGTAATAACATGCAATAACAACAATTTCTGCCTATTGATGATATGAATTGTTATAGAATCCTGAAAAAAAAAAAGAAAAAAGTCTGAAAAGTAGTCATTGTGCAAGACAAGTACAAAAACTTTCCCATTGACACTAACATTAAAGGAAGTTGAACTTACACCTTGGCCATTTGCCCCTTGTTTAATCAGTAAAGTGTTGGAAGAGATGACACGTATCAGGCTCAAATCTTATAAACCAGAATCAAAAACCAAAGAATAACAAATAGAATAACTAGAAAATAAAATAATTGATTTAATTAACAACTTACTTTGGGAACAACCAGAAGAGAAATACTTGCATAAAGAAGATCGATTGATATTCCTTGGAACTTGAATTTCATAACTGGGACATGAGCATCTGGTATTGGTTGAAGTTCAGTAACTTCTTCCATTTCAGCTAATATATCATGCAAAATAATGAAGAAATCTTCCTGGAGAAAGTCACCATAGAACTAGTAAAAACCTTTAAAGAGGTTCAGATTCACTGAATACACCATGAATCAGCCAAATTATTAATTACCTCTCGACTGATGTAAGATGGCCCAACACATAGAGCATCTATGTCAGACCCTGGGCCATGCGCCTGCCAATGTAGAATTTGTTACTAAATCTCCAAACAAGCACACACATACACAATGTCCATATTTTCTCATTGACTATGAAATTTCATATCTATTGGCAAAATTTTCATTGACCCTTTGAATGCTAAAATGATGATCTCTTTGCCCAATCCTTTCCTCCAAACAATTTAAGAAACCTTACAAGATGCTGCAGTAGCCCCTTGCATCTTTTTGTCTTGTTTTAATTTTTTTTTTTTAAGACATAATCCAATCAAAAGTTTATCCCATGTTCCAAATGGTAAGTAAGTGGATCTCAAATTTCCAACAAAAAGTATCTAATTATTAACTCATTCTTAGTTACTACACGTGAAATGTGTCAAATAGAAACATTGATTTCCAATGCCACGCTGTAAGCAAAGCTCAAGCGATATAAACATTTTTGTATAATCTAGAAAATGATAAAACAAAGTAAATCAGAACACAAGACTTACTCCCAGACGATAAGACCCAAAAGTAAAAATAACGGCGTTAGCATCCTCCACCATCTGATCAGTGTAGCCCCTTTGACTAGTCAATTGCTTAACCCAATCTTTTACAATCTACAAAAGCAATCAAGTTGCTCACATCCATCAGTTCAAAAGAACTTACAACAAAACCCTCGCTCTTCACCCCCGCTCCCGCACTATATACAAATTCCTATACTTAAAAAAACCTTTAGTTTTGATTATTTGTTTGCAAGTTTAACATGTTGTTCTCTCTCTAAAGAATAAGGCATGGGTTATGTCCCAAGCCCATGATTCATTCATCATACGAATTCCTGAAGCAGCATCACATGAAAGTTATTAAATTAAACCTATCCAGTCGGATAAAATCTCCAAGTTGAGTTTTGTCTTTTGAGCATAAGTGGGCCAACAACAAAACAACTCAAATAAACTGGTAAGTTACCTGATCAAGGCACCCAATTACTTCTTTTTTCTTTGCATCTTCTTCTTCGCTCGCATACAGACCCGAATCAACCAAAAACTTCCAACATACAAACAAAATTTTAAAATCCAGTACAAATAAATTGAAACGAAGTTTAGTACAAAGAAACATCTACACATAAAAAAGAAAATTACCTTCTCCAAATCCCTATTACGCTGAAAATCAACCTCGGTGGGCTCGGCTACAGAGATTGGCTTGGTGATTCCGTACCTCTTCATTTCTTGTGAGGAAGGACCCGTTGGACTCTGGGAACCCACCATTTCAGTGACCTCTTCACATCAAAACCTCGTAATTTAACTAAAATTGGTCATGCAGTTCCGGTAAACATCGAATCAATTAGGCTAAACCTAAAATGAAACTGCACAGGAGTTCATCAAGGTGAATAGATCTAGAATTGTGTATCTCAAAAAAAAGTGAGAGGAATGGTGGAAGAAGAAATCAGTGGGCAAGGGAAGAGATTGGAAAAGGAGTTCTAGATTGGATTAATGATATTAAAATAATAATTTATTGTGATTAACCGGACCAGAGTAAATGACAAAGAATAATTAGAGGTGTGAACGCACTAGTTTCTTGACTGCTCAGATCTTTTCTTTTTCGCTTTTTGTTGTTTTAGCCAACCGAAGAAATTATCTTATTTGTTACTGTTAGAGTTAAAGGGTATATTTTCATGAAAATATATTTTTATTAAATATTAATTTAAAATTAAATTTATATATATATATATATATATATAACCAAACATCATCTGTGATGCCTTACTTGATATAGCTTCATTTTTTAAAGTTATAATAAATTAATGTATTATTTAATATGATTAATTGTAATTGCATTTACTTAAATTTATTGGATTTTATTATTTTTTTATCTAACTTTCTTACCCAACCTAGTAATTGAATAGTCTTATTGAATCAAAATAAATAAATAATAAACAATTGAAATCATATATTATAGGTATAAAATAATAGTTAGATTATTGTAACACTAATCAATCTTTTATATATATTTGTGACACAAAATTTTAGTTCTTGATTTAATATAATTTAATGGATTAATGGAAAGTTAAAATTGGTTGTATTTAATATCGAACTTATCAAGTTTTAAATTAGCAAAGAATCATGGATTAACATCAGTAATTTGTGTTATAATAGCTCGATTTATAAAATAATATCTTGACAAAGATATAACTAAAATAATTATACTATAAATACATAAAACATCTTTATAGTTATAACGGATTAATAGTGGAATCAAATAAATTTATTACTATAAAAAGGTTATAATTAATAGAGGTGTAGTTATAAAAATTAATTTTTTGATTTCTTATTTTATAATTCACGTTTTAATAGTATGTATTGGAATTTCAATTAATTGTTTTAATAGTCATTACTGCAATTAGACAAAAAATGAAAGGAATTAATATTGAAGATGATAGTACGGAAATACAAAAAAATGTTGTGTCAAAAAACTCTAAACATGCTTAAAAAACTATAAATATAAGATGTACATACTAACGAGTTACTACGTACTCACAAGTTAAAAGATGTGGTAACAACTCTAAAGAATAAATTATTATTCTAAACAACTTTAGATAAATATTTTATTTCGCCTTAAATCTTTAATGTAACATAGAATATATATTTTTAATATATATGTAATTATTACTGTGTGGAGGTAATTTTCTTAAGACAAGAATTAGAAAAATTAAAACGTATTACAATGTGGAGTTTATTCTTATTTATAACTATCCCAAGTTGAGACAAATTTTTATATGACCATACAGAGATTATTCCTATATAAAATATCACCATAGATAGTTTTAATGTATAAGAGTACTTTAAATAATAGTAATAATTAAACAACAGTTAGTTTTATTAAATTGAATTTAAAATGCTATATTTACAACTTCTTTTCACATGTGACAACTCATAATTGGTTAAACTCGTAATGAGTCTCACATGATAAATTACGATTGACCAATTATAAACTGCTACGTCGATTAAAAAAGAAAGTTTATGAGAAGAGGTTGTTGATATAGCATTATTTTTCAAGTAACTGTAGACGTAAAAATCTACTTGTACAAAAGGAGGGACTGATCCCTTAAGGTTGGGGTTACTAGCGATCTGCTGCACTTGCACACGTAAGAAAACAAATGTGAAGCGACAAAAAACACCAAAGTGGTGTTTGTTGTAGGCACTCCGACGCTCAAGTCAGTAAGGTTAAAAGTGACTAATTTAGTGAGGGTTAGGGAGAAGAGAGGTTACCAGAAGTCTAGTCGAGGACTGTGACTACGACTGTAATGCGAAGTTCTCAAGCGGGAACTCCGGGGTCTGAAGGTGTAATGTAATCTCTCTTGTGAGAGGGCTGACCTCTGTTTAAATAGTTACTGTATGGTTTCCCAATTCTGGTGGGATTGTGAGTCCTCGTAGTAGTCGTTCCTCACAGGGATGTATCCTTTGGCCTCCTTATCCTGGCATGTAAGGGAGTTCGAGTATGATTCGGATACGGACCTTGGAGGAATTGGGATAGTAATGGATTGCCTTATCAGAGTTCAAGTAGGAGTGTGATCCGTAGGTGACCGTGGGCTCCGAATTTGACCATAGGCCTAGAAGGTGTGTTGGGATCAGGAGGTCTGGGTCCAGATGGTATGGACTAACTATACTTCATGTCAAATGGGCCTCATTTGGGGAATTCTGGCTTAGGCCGCATATGGGGACTGGGCCTAAGCTTTCCTCTTTGTCAGATGTGTTATCCTATTTGGGTCGAAGACATTTTTTGATCCTAATAGTAACCACTAGGAAAACCACAGTTGGAGTCCAAGAATATGATATGGAATATTAAGAATACAAAGTATAAACAATAAAATAAATTATTATAAAAGTTTCTCTTGGACAACCTGTCAACTTAGCATTTTGAAATCAATTTACATACATTTTAATTTAATGTATTATAATTACAATTAAACATGAGATTATTTGAATAAAGAAATTATATTTATTATAATTGGATATTAGGATTTAGGACTGACTTAACTGAAATTAAGAGGCTTCAGGCTAACGCTCTCTAACTGTCTTTCCCTTGTTGAATCTCACTAATCACAGTCACAAGACAAACGGCAAAGACCGTTGTTAATTCAACCAACACACCCACAACATATCTTGTTTTACCAAAACATAAATGCTCCCTCGCTTCTCTCCTCTCCTCCGCTCTCTCCCTTCCTCCACCAATCCTATGGCGCGTATCCTTGCACCCTCCGCAATTACCATCGCTTTCTTTCACTCTTCTTCCACCATTTCTCTCCTTCCTTACCCTGCCAAGCGTTTTCACATCTCATCTTTCTCCAAATCCTCCATTTTTAGACGGCAGTTTCACGCGCTTTGTGCCGGGAAAGATGGGAAGCTATTAAAACCATCAATTAGCGTCTTCGCTGAGAAGAGAGAGTACCGGAGAGTGAAGAGACGCGCCACCAAGAGTAAGGAAAAAGAGTTGGAGCTCAGTGTTTGCATTTGCATTGAAGAGGAGCTGCCTGATGATCCTGAAATCTCGGTATTTATTTGTTTATGTTTATCTGTATTATTGTAATGCTTTTCTACAAACATTTGGCGCGCAAAATGTTTAATTTAATTAGTGATTTGAATCTGCTACAGAATATAGCAGAAATGCTTCGACTGAATGCGCCGATGTTGATGAAGTCAGCCTTTGATGGTTTGAAGGATTCACAGTATAAAACAAGAGACACTTCTATAGAAGACTTAGGCGGTTTCGAAAGTATTGAGTTGTCTATACTCCTTTGCAATGATGATTTTATTCGTAAGCTTAACAAAGAATGGAGGGATGAGGACCATGCTACTGATGTCCTCTCCATGTCACAACATGTCCCTGAACTCAAACTTCCAGTTGTAAGTTTTCAATCTATTCATCAAAAATTTTGAGTGACAACTCTCTGACCTGATTTACTTTTCTTTCCTTGTAGCTCATGTTAGGTGACATTGTAATTTCAGTTGAAACGGCTGCAAGACAAGCGGAGGAAAGAGGGCATTCACTTCTTGATGAAATACGCATCCTAATGGTTGGTTTGACAGTTTTTGTATTCAGTGGCTTCTACATTTCCAGTTTGTTGCTTTAGTCACTTGTCTCTGTATACATGTGTTTGATAGCTCATGGGCAGTTGATTAAGGAATCTTATCTCTTGGTCTGAGATCTCCCAAAGCTGTGAAGAGTCAAATGGAATTAAGTAAACGGACGTATTCAAGTAGATTTATATTGTTTTTGCTTTTCAAGAATATTGCTTGTGTTAGGAAGGCAATGTATAAAGTGGGTTTCTTAATTGCTTTACTATTTGCAGGTTCATGGGCTGTTACATCTTTTGGGTTTTGATCATGAGATTAGTGAGGAGGCTGAAGCAGAAATGGAGAAGGAGGAGGAATTTCTTTTGAAGAGTCTTGGGTGGAAGGGAAAAGGATTAATACAGAGTGCATATGATTCTGAAACTAATGTAAATCTTCATATTGAGCATTCGGATGGTAATTATATCCTATAGACCTTCTTCTCATTTGATGCATACTATCTTTACTCATTTTGAACGTGTAGTAGCCATATATAAATTGGCAGTGAGCTAATCTGACAGATAAAAGTGTTAATAGACAGGAGGAAAGAAAGAAGTCTCCGATTCTATAAACCAAAGTTCAGTTATATCTTCTGTGATATGGATGGTAGGATTGCACCTACAATGTCTTTGAATCTTTCTTCATTTTTTCGTAAAATTTTTGATCATTTATTATTTATTCAAATGCAAGGTACACTTTTGAACAGTAAAAGTCAAATTTCATTGACAAATGCTAAAGCATTGAAGGAGGCATTGTCAAGGGGTTTAAAAGTGGTGATAGCCACCGGAAAAGTAAGAGCAGATGAAAATTTATTTGCTTATTTCTTGTAGGGACCATAAAGACATTGTTTTAGAAGTATATCTTTATGCTAAGAAATTTATTTGCATGTTGTTTCTAAAACAGGCTCGTCCAGCTGTGATAAATGCTTTGAAGAAGGTTGATTTAGCTGGCAGAGATGGCGTTATTTCGGAGTTCTCTCCGGGGGTTTTCTTACAGGTTTTTCTTTCTGGCATTGTTGAGTTTATCAGCTTGTTGCTTCTCTTTAAGTGAGCACCGGATATTTTCCATATTCTTGAAGTTGTAAATTTTGGACAAAAAGATTTTTTTTGGGACCTACTCTGACTTCTAATTAGTGGACTATTACTGGCCGTGTATATGTGTTTTGCAATTTGAGATCTATACAATATAACATACAACATCACCATATTTTTTGTCTTATTGGTTCCATCTACTTGATTTCAGGGATTGCTTGTTTATGGTAGACAGGGTCGGGAAATTTTCAGAAGAAATTTAGATCCAGATGTCTGCAGAGAGGTAATATGGTTGTACTTGGATGTTAGGTATCTCTCATTTGGATTAAGTTTCGACTATTTTATATGTTGTACAATATATATGATAAAAAGATTTTTTTTTTCTGAAAAATAAAAAAGGAAAGAAAGAAAGAAAAGTTCAAGTACTTGTGTATGTCTTCTATGGATCAAGGTTTTGCCTTTTTGTCCTGCTGACAGGATTTCTTCCTGTAGTATGGTAGCAATCAAGGGGCAGTGGCTACTTTTATGTCAGTTATGCCAAACTATATTGGTATTGGCATCTGGAGCCCTTACGTGATTGGTTCAGTGTGTTAAACAGGAACGAACTTTGTTTCTTTGAGCCACAAGTTTCTGTGTTTATCTCAACCATAAATGACTTCCAGATGGGACTGCTTTTGGGTTTTAGCTCAAGTAGCAGAAGAGTGAGGTGAATTCCCGAGTTATGGTAGATCTTTTCTTTCAGAGGGAAAAGAGTAACTAGATTGTACTGTCTTCTAAACCACAATTGCATTCCTTCCCCTGTATATTTAATCAACATATGTCCTCTTTCCAAGGAAGATATTTAAGGGATACCTCTGTAATTCATTTATGGGGACCTGTTTTCTACCAGTCCTTTAAAGATGTATCATTAACCTGTATGAGTATCTTCTGTCTAGCATTGGCATTGTGTTTCACAGACAAAATGGTAGATTGTTCTTAACTATCAAGGCATCAGATCGGATCCTTTTGCTTAAACTGAAAGAACCCCTTTCCATGTTGTGATTTGTGAGCCCTTAACTTAAAATGCAGGCATGTCAATACTCTTGGGAGCATAAGATTCCTGTTATTGCATTCAGTGAGGGCCGTTGCTTAACACTATTTGATCATCCACTCGTTGACGCACTGCATACCATATATCATGAGGCTAAGGTACCTAATATATTGTTCATCTTTCACCCACATGATAATTGATCGTCTTTCACCCACATGATAATTCTTTCTTCTTTTATAGTAACTTTTTACATGAAAAATGTTTACAGGCAGAGGTCATGCCTTCCATTGAGCATCTCTTGGCTGCTGCTGATATACAGGTACTCACTCTGAGAAAACAAATAGAAAAGTTTTAACTGCAAGGATAAAATCATATTATTTTGATTTAACCACGCCATAAAGGAAAAAGAAGTATACTGATCACATTTAAGTGTTTGGAAAATAGCTCTGACCTCTATGTTGCAGGTTTTTTTCGACTCTCAGTGAGGGTTTATAATGATTTCAATCTTACAATTTAAGTGTAATCTTTGGAAAATTGCTCCATAAGTTACTAACTTTTTACTCATCACAACTGCAAGTCTCCTGCATTTCCTTATTTTATTTGTAATTAGAACATATATTGGTATGTATTTTGTTATTCTAATGTGTGCTTGCAGGATACATCTCGCTCTATATATATCAACCTAATGTGTTATCTTTCCTTCTGATAGTGGCTTTCATCAAGGCATTTCTTTTTGAATTTGCAGAAGGTCATCCTTTTAGACACTGCTGAGGGAGTATCTACTACCATAAGGCCGTACTGGTCAGAAGCAACAAGGGGGCGTGCCAATGTTGTTCAAGCTGTTCCAGACATGCTTGAAATTGTCCCCGCTGGGACCTCAAAGGGAAGTGGGGTAAGGATGCTGCTTGATCATTTGGGCATCTCTGCAAAGGAGGTATGGGCTAATACAATCTGCTGTCATATCTCCATGTTTTATTCTTGTGTTTCTGCTTTCTGTTTGATTCAAAATGAACAACAATTCCACCAGGATGCTGTTTTAGAGTAGTGCCCTTAAATTGGTTAGTTTCTGCATTTGTTTAATATAGCTTTACCTGAAATTGAGTTAATTAATCCTGCTCTGACACTGCTAGATGATATTATCACCTAATTCTCCGACTAGGAAAAATATTATCTTCACTTGATTTTATGTATTAAAATCTAAAAGTTGTTATTGGTATAACCAATTGATAAAGAGTCATCCATCATACATAAATTAACTAATATTCTGTTTTGTTTCTTGAATATAGAACATATTGAATTTATGATTTTGATTAGTTGGCCCAACTGTGACTGAAATATAAAAACCATCTCTGTTTGATTATTTGAATTGATTCTGACCATCTATTTTTCAGATAATGGCAATTGGTGATGGTGAGAATGATACTGAGATGCTTGAATTGGCTTCACTGGGTGTTGCTCTCAGTAATGGATCTGAGAAGACCAAAGCAGTTGCTAATGTGATTGGTGTTAGCAACGATGAAGATGGTGTAGCCGATGCCATTTATCGGTACGCCTTCTGAGGTTGGAGAAGGACCTATTTATACAATGCGTAATGCAACCCACAAAATCTGACTCAGTCATGCTATCAATGATTAGATGACCAAGTTATTAGATTTTATAGGTTCATTTGTGGTTCTAATTTTCAGAATGACACTACATATTCCAAATGCCGATTATTATTTTTTTTTTTTTCCAAACGGAAGAAAAATTACAGAAGATTATTCTTTTGGCAAAAATACAATACCTCATTAGTGTGATATGTATACTCCATAGCTTCATTGAATCAGGCCAGAAATTTCGACCATTTGATGTTAACAATATTTTTGTACAACATCTCAACTTTGTTATGTAAGTAATCAGCTATTTAGGTTACTTCAAACTTATAAATTTAAATCACTTCCTCTCGAGGTACAAGGATCTCTGTATAGCATAATTATTTAATATCCACTGGTGAAAAGTTTAACCATAGATAAGGTTTTGATCAAGATCTGAACGGAGGAAATTGACAAAGCGAATTACCGGACAAGTAAAGAAGTATGACCTTGTATTTTATACTCAATTGAATAGTAATATATGAATTTTAAGTTGAAATTATAAAAGTCTGTGAGGAAAAATATTTTTTCCTTAAATTATAAAAGTTTAAGCATACTCAGAAAATAGATGTTCAGTATTCTCAATCAACCTTAATCCTATCATGAAATTATGTATAGGACCACCGTCACTTGAGTTTTCGCATGGAACTCAACCGAAATACTTAATGATAGAATAAACATCCAACTTCCCATCTTGTTTATCGAAGAGAAAGATTGTCTTTATAAATACAACTATTACCATTTACAGAAACGCATCAAGCTGCTGTTGCCGAGACTTGGTGGTGACCTGTGTATCAAGCTGATCTCTCATAATGGGAATTCTTTCTTGCACACTCCAATATAGTTTTATCAGCAGTTATAAAGTAAGCAGCAATCGACGCTGTTAAAAAATAAATGAACGTTAACATTAATCCTCCGGCCTTGAAACGTCATCCTACGGCTCTACTTTCACCACAAGAAAAAAATTATAAACAAGAATTAATTCTTAATTATAATGGTCAATGAGTTTATAAACAAAAGTCTCTATCATCAGTAAACAATGATAAACTATTGATTTTCCACAGATCAGCATAATATTATTTTTAATAAAAAAATCCTTTAAGAGTCTGATTAGTGATTATACTCCATTAAAGCTAATAATTTGCTTAACAAATCCAATTGATATTGCATGATTCTCTAATTTTTATGTGGTGGTGAAATTATTCAGATTTTATGTTGCAAAACACAAAAATAATCTACCAAATCTAAGAAGCTGAAAGAATTATCCATATCCTGATTGTACCTGCAGATATAATCAGTGCCTGACCAGTATAGTTAATGTTTGCCTTTGCCCAAGGGACTTTTCGAACTGCAATCAACTGACAACACAAGAAGCAAATCAAATGCCAATCATAAAAGCCACGATCTGCATAGCGCAGAGATGCCCCAACAAAATGTCACAATTCAGACCCAATATATATATATATATATACAACAAAATGTCAAAATTCAGACCCTATATATATATATATACACACAACTGATAGCCTCTGTTACAAGGGCAAAGCTCTTCATAAAAGAACTCAATCTCAATAAATAATTCCACACTTCATGGCTAAAGGCTGAAATTAGGAGCATTAACCAAAAGGCAAGTCAGAAATCACCATGCTCCATCGAAAGAGTCGAAAAACATCAAACATTATAGTAGTTTCTGTAAAGTGGACCTTAGAAAGTTTGAAATCACACAATTAAAGATCAGATGCACCTCTTCTCCGAACACAGACCACTACATCACCAATTGTAGAAAGAAATAAGCAGTTACCAAGCTTGGCAATAAGAGAACTATCATCAACTTTCCCTTTTGGAAGGTCTCAAATAGGTTGTGTTACATCAAAGATCAATAGATTAGCGTATCAATGATTGAGCTCATATGCAATAATGGAAGTAGCACTCCACATCTGGTTACTTCACAAAAACATTCACCACCTGAACTAATCCCAAACCAAGTCTAAATAGGGGTTGTGTTACATAAAGATCATTAAATTAGTGTATTAATATTAAGCTCGTATGCAGTGATGAAAGTAGCACTCAACATCTGGTTAATTCATGTGACACGTTCAGACCCAGTCGCATCCCAAATCAGTCTAAAATATGGGTAGTAATCCAGTGAAAACCTTTTCTCTGTCACATTGCTAGACCTGTGTAACAATTACATGATATTTCCTTTTCCATTCCAAGACAAAATCCTCATCAACAAGGCAATCAAAAATACCTGGTTCTTGTATTATAAACCATAATGAACATGGACATACCATTCCAAAATAAATTTTCTAGTTTGAGCTTGAGGAATCAAGATAAAAGGATAGAATATATATATATAATCACTGGCTAAGCAACAAATACAACAATAGATTAAAGAATGAAAAGTAAATGAAAGCAAACTATAAAAAAAATGACATTTAAAAGGGCAGTTAAGAAAAGTAAAAGTGAGGATCACCGTAGGAATAGCACTGGCAATACAAGCTACGGCAGCAGCCTTGGCTCCAGCACGAACACCTTCTGAAGTAGTAAATTTATCATTTAAACATCAGTAAAATACATATAATTGGAGATTGATAAACAAATAAATTTAATAAATGAAAACCTTGAGTGCACTGACGGGAAGACATAATCCTCCGATCCTCGGCTGTAGAAGCAATCGCGAAGATGTTTTTGCTTTCTCTTGTTTTCGCTTTCGTAGGAATTTCCATTTTCTTCTCTTCTCTAAACCAACAAATCAATGGTATTTGACAACTGAAAGAGGCGGCCTTCGATTTGATTTGTTCTTCTTAATTTATATTTTTATTTATTTATTTTTAAATAAAAAAAGCAGGGGCCCTTGTCAAATTAAACACCAATCTTGTGCGCCGGCGCCGCTCTCTCTATGCTTTACATGTAATAACTCATCTCCGTATTTTTCCGCTACTTTCTACAAAGAATAATACTTCACTAACAACCCCCATCTTCGGCAAACTTTCTCTCACAACCCTAATACAACAGTTCACAATTAGTTAGTCTGGGTCTTACATGGGTCTCACATGAATCCTATTAATTAATTGCGAACTATCACATCATGATTATGAGAGAAAGTTGATGAGAAAGGATTATTGATATAGTATTACTCTCCGACAAATCGAAATCTCCATATATTTACAGTTTCTTTATAACATTCTATTAGATTTATGATAATCCCTTTACATAAACATTATATACTTAAAAATCAACATCAAAATATAATATAAAAGGTAATACTATAGTACTATACTTATAAATCTTTTTACTAAGAGATAAATAAAAGGTGATGTTTCATTATCTTTTAAATTACATAATAATTATTTATTTTATTTTATATATTCACTCTACCATTTATATTTTATCATATTACCACATCGAAGGTATAATGTAACGTTGTTTATTTATTTTATAATCGGGGTGTTAAGGAATTCACGCACATTTCAACTAATTTTCAGAATCTATTAAACATCTTACAAACCTTTAATTTATTCCCACATTATTTGAGGGGATTAGTTTATACATATATTATTTGGTAACATGAATTTTCATATGAAGAAGAAAAATGTTAAAAAAAAAGAACAACAAAACAAAGAATTTAATATTTACATGATCTTAATCAAACAAATAGAATCAAATTTTATTGAAGTAACCTTTTTATACGTTATATAATAATTTTAATAAAGAATAAGATTCTAATTAAAAAATTAATAATAACTAGAAAGCATAAATTGACATAGTTTTTTTTTGTTTTAAAGATAAGGTTTAAAATAAAAACCCCTTAATTGAGAATAGTGAAAAAAACTTAAAACCTTTTAAATAATACACCTAAGAATCATGATTAAAACCATCGAACGATAGTTTAACATAGGTCGATTTTAATAGTTAAAACTTGAGAGTACTCCAATTTCACGAATTGTTTTTCCTTATAATCCGAAGACTGAATAGTGTGATAAACAAATTAGGCATAATCAAAACCTATCCGGGACTGCAACTTCCACAAGTTGGTAGATCAGGAACTGGCTCCTAAACAGACATGAAACGAGAAACAACAAACATATTAGTCTAACAAAAACACTTTCACTCACATCACAAAAACCCCACAACTCCCTTACAGATAATATTCTTGATTTCATTATAAATCAACACAATTCATTCAAATGTCTTTGAGCAACCATGTCTCTCAAATCCCCAAGCACCATAACACTTTTAACTCTCAACACTTAATTCTCCATTATCAATAAAATCCTTAAGCACTTAGAGACCTTGGTCAATTAGATAATCACCCAGCCTTTCAACAATCATGTTGCACTGACCAGGAGTCATAGGCTCATCATATATACCAATTACCAAGGCCTGATTGGTCTTCTTGACGGTAACACCACCAGAACCCTGAAATACATGTAACAAAACTCTCGATCAATATAATAACGAGCAACACAAAAATAAAGAGGCATTACAACTGGATAAGTTTCATTATGTAACATAATAATCAGGACCGTCACTGAATCTCCACAAAAGAAGCAAGAAAAAAAAACGTGTTAACTCACAAAGAAGTTTTACTAATTAAGTTGTTTTCTACTTGCAAAGAAACCAGCGTAACATACAAATATGAACTCCGAATTTACAAGCAACAGGTATTATTGTTCCCTGCAGTTGATATTTGGCACCCTCCTCATACTGAATCAAAAGTCAAACTCCTATCACCATTTTCTTAATTCAAACTTAGCATATAGACCAATCCAACTTCACCAGCAGTTCTCACATAGAGTGACAGGTATATTGGAGATGTAACAGTTACAAGATTAAAAAACCAGCCAAATTTTTTCTGCAGACAAAGCTATTACATTATCTAATATAATGACTCAAAATCAGCATGAAGCAGGTTCAAGAATGTTAACTAAACCATTTCAAATCAGCTCTGATTCTGAATGACAAGGAATGCGGTAATTCTTTATGAGATAAAAAGGTCTGAACTACAGCTTTAGGTTAGACCTATGAAGAATATTTAAAAATAATAATAATAATGACATAAACGACTGGTTTAATGATATGACATTGAATGTGCATTCAGTGGTATTGTTATGATGTATAAAAGAATACAAAGCCAAATTATCACCTTCTTTCCTCGTATGACAGCTCCTGGTTCACCTTGGATCACCATATATTTCACACCACCAAGGAATAAGCCAGTTGGCGCAAGAGTCCCAGGTTCAGCAAAGTCATTCATAATGCCTGTTATTTCCTCAGGCTTAAACTGCAACACCAAAAACACTTTTCAGGCAAAAATAAAAATAAAGACTAAACAACTAAGCAGCACAATAAAAATTAAGTCCATATCCACCAGCAGGAATCTGAACATGAATTCTCCACATAGCCACATCGGCAGAATAGCACACAGCAAAAGATAACACTAGCCTTCCTTAACTCTAAAATGTAACAGCTCAACAAGGGAGTACACATGGGGCACCAGGCCAAAATTCAAAGACACACACATAAATGTTGCCTGAATTCACAATGTTATTACTTCTTTACCTGTACTTTTAAACCGGAAAAGACATAAATATTATAGTACACTGGAGGAGATTAGCAAGAAGTGAAGTACTGAAGAAGATTTAGGGTTACACGTATAAAAACCAGTAAGTGGTCAACATCAGTTATACACCATTTTTCTTCATCAAACAGAGAAGCTGAGCCTAAAAGAAAATATGATAGACACATTAGTTCATAAATCAGCATAAGGTGATGGGTTTGGTGTTGAACATATTAAGATCGTTACAATGAAGTCCTGCATAAAAACAAACTAATCCGCTGATACGAGGCCGCATGAGTATATAATAAGATGGTTAGCAAAATATAATGTAGATATACGGCCACCCAAAATATAATTCGACAATTAGTTCATATTAACAACGGCTAAAAGGAGACATTGCAAAGAGCACAAAAAAATCAAGAACCTTGATGACAAAATTTTGCTAGTCTACACAAAATGTCAAAACAAACAAAACAAATTAGTGGATCATCCCAGTAAAAGGATTACAAAAATCCTAGAACAAAAAACCTCTGCATGTATTACAATCAAAATCTTAACTCTCAATTTTATTACAAGATAAATAGTCAATACAAGAAAGCAAATCCACAACGTCCATCGATTTTAAACGAAAGAGCAAAGCTTAGTTAGACTCGCGAAATAGAAGATGGAACCTGAGGGAAATTAGCGCTCTGGGGCCCAAACGTGCCATCACATGGCCGATGATAGCTGGCAGCAGTGAGTTGCAGACCATCCATCTCGCACATCAGTGATCATCAACGTACGTTTGCCACGACCTCTTCTGTTCTGGCTTTTTTTTTATAATTTTTTCCTTCCTTTTCGGTTTTTCGTTGGTTTGAGATTGAGAGGTAAGGTGGACACTGGTATTGTTCAATCTCATTCAAATGTGAAGCCAGAGGAAGAAGACTAAAGATATAGACCGAGAGGAGAAAGTGGTAGCGTGAAATCAAGCTGGTAAAACGACAACTTTTCCTCCACCGTTGGCTATTTTCTTTACCCTGTGGGACCCGTATTTTATTTTCTCATTTTCTCTTTTTCTTTTTTTTTGTTTTTCCTTTTTTTCTTTCTTCTTTTAAATATTTCGATTTTGAGATTTCCATTCTCCTAAAATTCAAATATGGATCATAATGCCATGGTTCTTACATTAAAGAATTATATAAAGTTTTATTTTATTTTCTTATACACTAGCTTGAAGTGAACCGTACCGTTTCATTTAAAGATATTAAAATCACTTATAATTCTCAAAATCTTTTTTAAAAATATTAAAAACTCTCGTTAATATCAAATAATTTCTTATAAAATTATTTTTCTGTTCATTAAAATAATGAAAACCGACTATTATTTTAAACTTCTTTTCAGAAAATATTTTTAAACAAAATGATAAACTAATACCAAAGAATCTCACAAAAGTAAAATAAAATAAATTATGAATATACTATTATATCTTATGTTTATTTACAAAGTATAATTAATTCAAACATTACTGTAATTAGATACAAGCGGACTAGATGTTCTGTCCGTGGAGATGAAAATGAAAAGGGGTGATGGTGGCGATTGAGACACGTGTCAACACTATCAGTAGGAGGTCATGACTCCAGTTCCATCACAACACATCAGAAATTCTAGAAGGTATCTTTGAAGGGTCAAACTCTAACGACAAATCCAGATTCCAGAAACTTATTCATCGTGCAGAAAGCGACTTTGAAAAAAGCCATAAACGCAAATGGGTTTGGCGCCGTCTTCACAAGAAGAAGAGGATTAATATTATTTTAAATCTCACACGAGTGAATCAACTAACGACAGATCCACAACAGTGGGTGATGAAACAAAATATGGAAGATTGGTCATAATTGAGTTTCAGTTAGAATAGAGACACAAGCAAACTATTCCTAACAGCAATATCCTTCAATGCGAAAGATCTATATACATTATTCATTACCGTATTCCTTTGTTCTCAAGCTACAATCTAATGACAATATGCGCATAAAACAGCCAAATAGAATTGTCAAAAAAAAACCAAAAAAAAAAAAAAAAAAAAATCTTTCAATAGAACTCTTTCTTATTCCACTATGGAATTTCCTTATATTAGCATACGACTGAAAGCTATCAACGAAGGTTGTTAACAACTAGTTAGATTCTTCGAAATCAGATGACCACAGTTCTATGGAAAATGGTCTACCAAGGCTGGATTTAGCCGATAACATCCTCCTCTAAAGCCACACAGTTACCACTTGCCTGCTGGACAGGGTATTTGTTGGCTATCCCACTCCCAAGGCCACAAGTTTTTATGCTGAGTGTAAGATTAAGGATTTCTATGAGCACAGTTTATACATATGCATATGAACCAAAACCGCTGAAACAAGCTTCTTCATATGGAAAAAAGGATATGGGAGTGGGGCTGTATTACAATATCAATCTATGATTCAACTCAAGCAAACACTGAACAAGACTCATCCCGATTTAACCAAGAAAAACATTGAAGAGGCTATGTCACAACACACAAAAACATGAATTCCATGACAGACTAGCATATGTCTGATTACAATACAAGTACCTGATTGATTACTTGTCCGCATCTCTAGCCAAGTGTTACCTGATTTGATAGCCCTGGTGCCCATTGCCTTTTCTGAGTCATTATTATAATAATATTATGAAATTAGAATATAGTAAAAAGGATACTTGATCCTTATTTATATTTTACCAATAATTTGTGGTGGAGATGTGTGATCAAAGATCAAGAAGAAGTATAAAAGTAGGATACACCTATTGGAGTCTTTTATATATTTCTTCCACCGCAAGCAGGATGTAGCAACCTGTTCAGAATAATATAGATGGCACTGCTATGATTCAAGAAGTTTGGTAGTATCGGTGACAAATATCAACAATCAATAGCAACATGTCCCCTGGAAAGATAACATGCCTGCGTTTCAGAAAATATTAGCTTAGTATTGCATCCCCCTTCCAACCCATGAAACATATCTAACATGTTTATCAATGGCAAATCACACAACAAGAATGCAAGATACGGTTACACTACTGCATGTGCATGGGACAATGAAGTTGAGAATAGTACCTTAGCTGACAAGCCCATATATACTAATTGTGTGGAATTAGGAAACTCTCTGGCTCCATACAAATAAGCATGGACACACATGAACCTCCCCCAAAAAGGGTCCCATCAACATCGGAAGTGGCTGATAACGACCTACACACCAAATGCCACATTAGATAAAGAACACTAATGGCACTAATATTTGCAAAAAAAAGAAAAATGGTTGACAAAACATATGAAATGTGACCATGCATAACTGTAAATCATTAAAAACTTTGGAACTTGGAAGTTTTTATAAAACCACAATTAGCCCTACCAGTAATGTTATGGACCACCAAAAACTTCATCATCCCAGAAACTGCTGTGCGTCCGCCTCTCTGGACCTTTTTCAAGCTGGACAACCATAATCTGCTCTGATAAAAATAGTAGGTTCCAATATAAGTTGAACAGGGACAGATTTTTTTTCCCTTTGGTAATACTTTCTACAGTCTCTATAATCCTACACCTAAACTCTTCATCATGCAAAATGTCCCTTACATAACAAATATTTTTCAGTGATTAGTACTTACATCATTAGAAGACGAATTCCAAAATTGATGGAAAATTTTCCGAGGAAAAAGAAATTCGTAATAAGCCTCCACACCTATGAAACAACAGAGGGTTCAACAAGTATTAGAAGCACAATATTTAAAGTTTTTTTTTTTTTTTTTTTAACTTTTGTTGATACCTAGAAATCCCCAGTGTTTCTTAAGAATTCAAAGAATTTTTTCTCTTTTGGGACCACAACAGAACCCACCAATCTATGTTCATTGTTGTAAAAATTTATCTTGGCATTAAAATTCACAAGATGCTTATTATATAACACACAGCAATGATGAAACAAATAAAAGTAAAACTTGGCAGAAAAAGGTTCCTTCTAAATGAGTTTCATGATTGGATTTAAACCTGAAACTTGGAGAAAACAGGTTCATAAAACAACGCTATACTCCAGGGACTGTACAATCCCAAATGGAAAGCTGCAGTGGCCACCACACATATGGTCCCAAAAGCTTTGCTGATAGGAGGAAGAGAATTATAGAATCTGAAACATACCAAACAATCAAGTCACCAAATGCCAGATTATCAACCATCCAAGAAATCAAATTTTTAACAATGCCATCAAAATTCAACTTCGCTGCTGATAAATACAATACAAATTTAATATCCGTAATGGATAGGGCCATGTTGGCGGAAATTAAAACTTTTAAACTAATATAACATTCAATTTCTCAACAAATCAAAAACTTGCCACTGAGATTACCAAAGACTCGAATCGGCAATTTAGAAATTAAATTCCAATTGATCATAAAAGAAAACAATGATAGAAAGGGCAAAAATGATTGTAAAAGAAGAGTGAAGTGGGAGATAATGAAGAGCATTACTCTGCAGGAGACGACATGTTAACTAAGTGAAACCTGATTCATAAAATCTTCAAAGTTGGTTGGTTCTCTGTGTCAGAAGGTGTAACAGATCTTACACGGGATTTTTCAAGCAATGTGAAGGGGAGAAAAAAAAAAAAAAAACAGGAGTACGTAATAGCCTTCAAATTACACCGGCAACAGGAAGAGATCTTCTTATTGTGAGCACTGACGTGGCGTACCAGGAGGCAACATGACAACAAAGCAGTTCCAATGAGGAGACGCCAAATCATACTGTAACATTTCTTAATTATTAAGAGTCACAAGCTAGTTAAGAATAAAATTAAAAATAAAAAACCTTTCCTAAAGTTAATAAAATTTATTATCATTATATAAATAAATAAATGTTATTAACCTAATGATATATGTTTGAAATTAGAATTCCATAAAAGCCTTAATAATGTAATCTTATAGGAAATACCTTTAGGGGGTTGGGCGGTTCGATAGTGACTCTTAGGTGTTTTATTCAAGAAGTCTTAAATTCAAGTCTTTCTTTGAGTGTTAATAGGGAAGTTATTAGAACTCTTACCTGACTCCGATCGATAGTTTCAAGATTTTCGAAGAATTAGTTGAAATGTACATAAATTGACCGAATATCGCGATCATAAAAAAATGTAATAAATAATAATAATAATATGATAGGTTAGTTAGTACTCAGTAATGTGCATTAAACTGAAAATTTAAATTCTTTCTTATTTCTTTTATCTTTTGATAAACTTGAAGTGTTATTTTAATTTTTCAAAGCGTAGCAGAAGAACTAGACAAATTTAAGTTTATATACTTGATTTATTTATGAATAGTTTGAATTATAGATAAAAATAATATAAGTGTGAAAAACTATGATTATAATAGTCTTTTAGATGTCACGTTTTCATGTAAAGCTGTATATGTTGATCTTATTGATGCATGAATATTGTAATAATAAATGGTTAATGTAGTGGTATCAATGAAAGTCAATCATCTTCTTCTAGGACATGTTAATAGGGTTCATATCTGAACAAAATTCAAAATTGATAGATAAAAAACCTATGACTTGTATTAAAAAAAATAAAAAAATAAATAAAAAGGTAAAAGTAAAGGACACTTCATCAAGAGATAGTCTTTGTCAAAATTATCCATGGAGTACAAATTCAAATAAACAAAAAAGCAAAGCAGAGGCATCTACATAACATAATCTTGATTAAATACTTACAAAAGCAAAAGAGTAAACGACTTGTTCCCACGCAACTTTTCGCCAAGTCCTAAGTTCCCACCCTGGTTTCACAAATTCCAGATTCCCACCCTTAAATTAACAGAAAACCGTTTAATTTAACGATATGGCCATTTGCTTTCCACTTTGTTCTTCCTCGCATCTTTTCTTCCTTACCATGCCTAGGAACTCCACTCTCAATGCCGAGAATCCTTCAATTCCTCCCCCAGCACAATCCAACGCAACGTCTTTAAATTTCAAAGAGGGAAATTGTTTCCAAACTCAATTAAACAAAACCACAACTACACAAATTTCACAACAAAACAACCAAAAAAAAACCCAATTCAAAGCCGCTAACTGACACCATAACTACACAAGAAAAAAAAGCCATTGACTCTCCCATAAAACATTTCAAAACCCAATTCAACAAACCACAATTATAGATTCTAACACATACCAAACGAAAAAAACCCATTGACTCTCCCATAAATCATTTCAAAACCCAATTCAACAAACCACAATTATAGATTCTAACACATAATCCACATCAATCTCAAATTTCAAGAGGGGAAAAACAACAGAAAATTTGAAAATTCAAAGGAAATGTATGGCAGTGGCATCGAATAAAAGTGGCCCGATCAATTTTAGGGCTTATTTGCAACCACTTCTTTCAATTTTAAAACAGCCGTGCATTTGGTTAGCAACTACATTCAGCGACTGAAAGTGGCCCGATCTGGCTTTGTGGAGGGCAGTGCAACTGAAGTCTTAGTGGTAGATCAGCGACGGAAACAAGAGCGCTTTGCTGCTTGTGGTTGGTCGGCGAACAAGGAAGGTGACGATTGCGATTTGGCATCGAAAAAGCAGCAAAAACCATCGACATGACACCGCCAGGATTGATTGCCATCACCGTCACTTTTTGCTTCGATCTCGAGGTCAAATTTTACCAAGCTTAGCCTGGTCAGCACTGCCGCAAAAGCGTAGTGGCTTTGGTTGGTTTTCTTAGGGATTTCTAGTTGTTGGTTTGGGTTGTGGAGTTCCATTGTTGGCCATGTTTTGGTGGGCGATTTGGTGATGGCTCATATGCAAGGGTTAAAGGGCAATTTATTAATTTATTTATTGAGGGCAATATGGTAATAATGCTTCCATACTTGTGTCAGATAAAAAATCTTTAACCATGTTGGTTTTTGGGTGGGAATCTGGAATTTATGAAACCAGGGTGGTAACTGTCGTTTCGTGAAACCTTGGGTGGGTACATGTCGTTTACTCAAAGCAAAATTAATAAAAACCAGTGGGTGAGCTATAGTCACTAGTAATTGTGAAAAACTCGCCACCTGGTTTGCATCCATATTTCGTACGAAACAATCTCATTCGAACCTAAAACCCCCCCAACGACGCCGCTTTCTCCACACCACCTCACGTGCCTTTTCTCTCCTTACGCCTCCCCAAACACTCACCATAAAGCGGCGCAAGTGCAAGCAACACGGCCCCGTTTTAATCATCGTGAATTGCGGATATCATTGCAAAAAAATTTAGCAGTAAAAGTGAAGAGCAAACAATGGAGCATTCTGGTAATTTACAGCTCAAGCTGGTTGATGGTGACGCTGGTTATGTCCTCGAAGATGTTCCTCACCTCACTGATTACATTCCTGATCTCCCTGTATGAATTTTGAACGATTGATTTGATCACTTTCTTCAACTTCGACTGAGTTTATTTTTATTTTTGCAAAAAACTATATTAGTTGTTAAAGATGTTGTTTTGTACGGCAGACTTATCCCAACCCGTTGCGGTCAAATCCATCTTACTCGGTAGTTAAGTAAGTAAAAACTCCTTATTACTTCAACTTAAAGGCCAGACGGATCCATTGCCACCTTCTTTAGTTATGATATGATGATTCTTGTTGATATGAGTATTTTGTGATTACAGGCAGTATTTTGTTGATGTGGATCATACAGTTGCTCAAAAGGTGATTTATGCTTCGACTTCCAAATTTTTTTGGTTTGTTTTCCTCTCCCCGCCATTTGTCAACTGGAAGATCTGTTTCTGTAAATGCTTTCATTTGCCTCTTCTTATTCGTGGCATCCCATCCAAATAATTGTCGTGATGACTACAACTTTTTAAAAACTCGGCGGCAATATTTCTATGGCCTGGTTTTTTCGCCCTTGTTTTCGGAATTGAAAGTTGGAAACAGAGTCAGAAAGTTTGTTTCACTTGTTAACTTATATGTAATCATTTCATGGAGAACTATCTGCCGTGTCAGGGAAGGTGGCTTGGATACAAGAGCTAACTGATTACTTTTTCTCCGTCTTCTTCTTTGTTTAGATTGTTGTTCACAAAGATGATCCAAGAGGGACACATTTCCGGCGTGCCGGACCTCGCCAGAAGGTGATTATTATTTTTCCTGTTTAATTACTCATAAACCATATGCATTTTACTAAGTTCACTACATTATGCTGTTCAGGTGTATTTTGAATCAGATGAAGTACATGCCTGTATTGTAACATGTGGTGGCCTTTGCCCCGGGCTCAACACTGTGATCAGGGAAATTGTCTGTGGCCTTTATCACATGTACGGTGTCAACAAAATCCTCGGAATAGATGTAAGTGGCCACATTATTTTTGCTCAACGTCATTGAATATTTTTATTATAGTATCAGAAAAATGATGTATGTATATGTTATCTATGTATGTGTATATATATGGCGCAGCTCCACACACGCCATTTACTCCAGTTTCTTATGTTTTCAATATATTTATCACACGACCTTCAAAATATTGTTGCACAAGAAAGGAGGCCATGGTTACACATTAGTTGGTCAGATTATATGTAGCTATTTGAATTTAATTTTGAGGGGATGCTGCTGATGAAATTATCTCAATTATTATCAACAAGTAAAAGAGCTGTTGTGTCGGGCGTTGAAGTGGTTGCCATGTGTGAGCATTGTGCAGAAGTTAGTTAATTTGGTTTTGTGATAAAAATGTTAATATTTCGTATAAAAATCTTGAACATAATTGTTTCGTGTTGACCCCCCTGAGGATTTTGTTTGATTCATCCGTAGGGAGGATATAGGGGTTTCTACTGCAAAAATACCATCGATTTAACGCCTAAAGTTGTTAATGACATCCATAAGCGTGGTGGTACCATCATTAAGACATCACGAGGAGGCCATGATACCTCAAAGATAGTTGACAGCATTCAGGATCGTGGAATTAATCAGGTATGTGAAGGCTAGAATTTTGTCAACGGTCATTTCCTCAAATTTTTGGATGAATCATTTGTGTAAATGGTGAAATTTCTTGCTGGATAGGCACATAAATCCCCTTATAGATTCTCATTATGACTTTTAATGGTCCAGGTGTACATAATTGGAGGAGATGGAACTCAAAAGGGAGCAGCAGTCATTTACGAGGTACTATTATTTGAAAGGTTGAAGAAAGTCTATTGGCTGTCATATATTGCTTACAGATTGATAGCTTCACATGTGTCTCCCATTAGATGCATGTATGATGGCTACTTAGAAATGTTACTAGTATTATGTCAATCACATTTTACTGTTAAGATCACACAGCTGCAGAAAAATTGCTCAACTGTAACGACTTCTAATGAGCATGAAAATCTGTTCTGGACTTGATTGTTTATAAACCGTCTTCTCTGTTTAACAGTGCGTATTCTGAATCATCACTAGTTGAAGATATCAGTAATTACATGTGTTTTTTTTGGGATTTTTCACTTCCGACTACCTTATTTGTTATTTACTGTTACAGTCCTTTACAGATTTTCTTCATTAGCCCACCATTATGTGGTTTATATGCCCTTACCTATGCTTATTTCTGATAATCTATGTCAAGCTAGAAGGTCACTTCAGATGTTAGATTAATCTGCTGAATCTGGTGAACATATGTGATGCCTTAAATTTTCATAAAAATACTCCTAGGCTGCATGAACATATACTCAAGTGTCCCTCAAACTAATTCTACATTAACATACATGTCTTTGTTATCATTACTTGATTGATTGCTTTAATTTTGAACACCAATCCATATAATTAATCGTTGTTCCTGTGTTTGCCACTGTAATATAATGCAGTTCTCATTTTGCAGGAAATTAGGCGCCGTGGCCTCAAAGTTGCAGTTGCTGGAATCCCAAAAACTATTGACAACGATATTCCAGTACTTATTTCCACCCATTTTTTACAGATCATAATTTAGTTTTATTGTTTCTCTTTTCATTTCTTTCTTGAAATATTGTGTTTTCTAACTTTACATAGCTTAATATTGGATTGTCATAATCGTGATTCAGGTTATTGATAAATCCTTTGGTTTTGATACTGCTGTTGAGGAGGCCCAACGTGCCATTGATGCAGCACATGTTGAAGCTGGAAGTATAGAGAATGGCATTGGAGTTGTGAAGCTCATGGGACGCTATAGTGGTAAGTTTTGCATCTATCTTGATGGTTTCATATGCTAAAACTCAATACATCAATGAAGCTCGAATGATCTACTTACTCAATTTTCACATGCTTGTACTTATCATGTTTTCATTTTTAAGCCTTTTTTATTTTTCACCATATGATGTAAAATCACTGGAGCAGGTTTCATTGCGATGTATGCTACACTTGGCAGCCGAGATGTAGACTGTTGTTTGATTCCAGAGTCACCCTTCTATCTTGAGGGACGTGGAGGACTTTATGAATATATTGAAAAACGACTCAAAGAAAATGGGCATATGGTTATTGTTATAGCAGAAGGAGCAGGACAGGATCTTCTTTCAGAGAGCTTGCAGTCCATGAACCATCAAGATGCTTCAGGAAACAAGCTTCTTCAAGATGTTGGGCTATGGATATCTCAGAAGATCAAGGTACCTCTTGCAATCTATTAGAATCGTTTTGTAAATTCTCAAATTATCAGCACCATATGTAACAGTAACGTAATTTATGGGCTATATAAGGAATTCTGTGTCTTTATCAATTTAACACTTTGCTGTTGCTTCAGCTTCTTTAATCGTAGCACCATTTTGCCAGCCAACACAAGATGGCCATTAATTTGAAATATATAGGTCAGTACCTGAGACTTGCCTTCTTTGTTGACTATACTCTCTTAAATTTGACCAAGATGGATGTGCCAATGACTCTGCTCTAACCAAATTGGTTTGCAGATCCTACATACATGATCCGGGCTATTCCAAGCAATGCATCCGACAATGTCTACTGCACTCTCCTCGCACATAGTGCAGTACATGGAGCAATGGCAGGGTATACAGGCTTCACAGTTGGTCTTGTCAATGGCAGACATGCTTACATTCCTTTCAACGTAAGTTCTTTTATGCAATTCAGCATTTGTCACTAGCCAGACCTAATCCTTTTCAGAGGAAACTGTTTTTCATATCGAAGCTTATTAATGTTATCTTTGGTTTGGATATCGGAATGCAGCGAATCACAGAGAAGCAAAAAAATGTTGTCATTACTGACAGGATGTGGGCAAGACTGCTTTCTTCTACCAACCAGCCAAGCTTCTTGAGCCACAAAGAACTCGCTGAATTCAAGAAAGAGAAACAACATCAACACCAGTTGTTGGATGACGAAAATTGCAAAGATAACAAATCTGAGCCAAAGACATAGGTACATGACATTTGAGCTGTATAAATTACTGTTCTGCTCGTTGCATTCTATAAGCGTTAGTTGCCACTTGTAGCTGAAGCCTTGTGATGGTGGATCTATGGTTGATAGAAATGTGTATCTGACTATTGTTAGTAATATTGAGAGGTAGATGTGCTTTTTGTATGAGGAGTTCATCCTTTATACCAGTTTTGTTGAGTTATTCTACCGAGTTATTATTAAATATCTTCAAATTCATCTGTTGCCTATTGGTATGACTTTGTTCTCTTCTCACAACTCAGTGTGGAGAGCAAGTATTTTTCTAAAAGTTGATTTCTGTGTCATGAAGTTAAGAGTTCTGAAAGAGGGTCTTTACCTATCAAGTGTATTGGTGGATTTGATAGTAACGGAAAGCTGGGAATTCTTTCGGTGCTGGAGCCGACAGTTCTATCAACTATCGTGCTTGAATTCCTTTTTTAATAAAATGATCCAACATTCATTCTCAAAATAAGGAAGTAACATGCGTTTTGAAAATCATAAAAATTAACCCAAAAGATTTAACCCCCCGAATATGTATTGTAATTTGTCAGTTTTTTATTGAAGTTTTGGTGTTTAATTTAACCAATCAAAGATATGTATGGAATAGTGACAGATAAATTATTGTTTCAATTACTTCATAGGGAAATTGCAATTAACCAATGTTTTAATATCCGACTTGGGGTGAAACCCGACAAAGTTGCCGGGACGGTCAAATTGGGTGTCCAAAAGTTTCAAATTCACAAATACACCCAAAAAAATTACAGTTAAGTTCCCATAAGTTTGCAATTTAGTAAACACACTCTAAATACAAATCGATAGTCAATTGGTTGACGATGATAACCATCCTTTAAGCCATTCCTTAGAAAATCTACCCAAGATATAGGCAAAATTGAACCTAATTTCAGCCAGATCTCACCATTATTAGCATTGACAACACAAGTCATATCTCACCATAGCCAGTGTCGACAATCCTCCCCATCATCATAAAAATACTGCCCTCAACCTCCTGACCAAACCCCCCTCACCCCACCCTCGTTCGCCTCACCAATCGCCTGTCGTTGCCGCCACAAGTTCTTTTTCGATTTTTGATCGATTCACTCACTGGAAATCACCTATGTCGTCACCATTGTACTCACTAGCCATCTTACTCTTCAAAATCCCCAACATTCCAACCTTTAACTGTTCGTCGATCATCATTCTAAGGTTTTCAGTGAATTGGGAAATTGGTAATTTGGCCCAGTGAAGGCCTCGGGTCTCGGTTCAACCAAGCCGGGTTTAAAACACTGCTATTAACTATTATTATTATTATCACTGGTCAAAAACCAAAATGACAATGACGATTGACTGCATTGCACTAGGGTATGGCAAAAGAAACTACAAAGAATACAGTTGTTGCTCCGATGGATAAAAATACAACATGATAATTAGAATACAAATGAATGTTAAAATTTTCGGCAAACCAATAGTTTTATTTCCACAATCTTGGAGACTGCCTATGCAATCAAACTGCATATAAGGATATGTAAAGTGATGAACCATAACAAGTCATCAGAGGTCTGGATATTTTCATCACACAAGGAATCCCTTCCTTCTGTCACAATGTTGTTTCAGTAAAGATGACCCAGCAAGAAAGTTCCTGAAAGTCATCAAGAAATTAAAAAAGGTTCTCCAACCAGCAATTTAACTCAACAACCCCTATAGATGCCAGAGGGATCAGCATTTTGTATGATCCATGGATGCTCTAGAAGCTTGTGTAGTGGTAGGCGCTGTGCAGATTCCTTGACAAGCATCTGTTTTTACATAAGAAAAGGAAAATTCAGGCACGATCCTCAAAGTGAACATTGAAATCGCTGTGATGGCTGGTTGCCTTATGTAAAAATGTAACTTGGTGTAGTTCAAGTAAAAGAACAAACCTGACTAATGAGGTCCTTAGCGCCAGAAGACACAATTGGTTTAGGAGGAAACTTCAAATCCACTTGGACAATCCTGAGAAAGTCATTAGATCAACTATATAAATATCTTGATGCAGGCGGTTCCTGATACCATTTACAAGAAAAATGGATTTGACATCTTAATTGCAAGTTTTGACAAACCTTCTATACGTATCAGAGTGTTCCTTGGCCTCAAAAGGAGGGACACCATAAAGAAATTCATAGCACAGAACACCAAGGCTCCAGATATCCACACTAGCATCATGTTCAACACTTTCCACTGTTAAGAAAATACAACAGGAAGTGAAATTGAATATTGTTTGGGAAGAAACTCTAAATATTTGAAAATACATTTTTCTTGATAAAACTACAATAATAGGATTCAGGTTGCTTCACTCGGAGTAAAGCAAACAAAACCTTTAAAGAAAGCCTTGAATCCTCAAGCTTTTAACTTAACTGGAATGGGCTATATGTACATACCCATCTCAGGCGGAAGATAATCCAGTGTGCCACACATGGTACGCCTACGGTTAAATGTGTGCACTGACCATCCAAAATCTGCAATCTTTAGCTCACCCTGACAAAGGACACCCCACATTGGCGTGATAAGCACAAGAAAGGTTTCACTAATCAGTTAAGAAACATGAAATGGATATAAAAATTTGGCTCACCTGTGCACCAATTAACAGGTTCTCTGGCTTGATATCTCTGTGTATTACATGCTTTCCATGACAATAAATGAGAGCCCGAGCTAATGATGCAACATACTGTAAAAATACCAGCACAAACAAAGTATTCTAGTTAGCTGCTGCATGCTTCAATGAAATCAAATTTATTATCATGCCATTCATAGCTACAGGTGATGTTGTATACGAGTCCCTCCACTTTCTTGTTAGCATCAGTTACATGGTAGTAAACTACTATTGGAATGTGCTTTCTTAATATTAATATTTTTCCAGAATTTGTTTGATTAAAGACTAGGAGGAAACCTGAAATTGGGCTTCCATTAAACAAAAAACTCAAAAGTTGACAACATAGGTGGAGGAAATCATAACAGCGAGAAGATAAGCAAAAGTATAAATACAGTATAGAAAGAACTTACCGTAGCAGCACGTCTTTCACTGAAGTATTTACACTTCTGAAGTTCCTTATAAAGTTCACCCTTCGCTGCATATTCTAATATCAAGTAAACTCGTTTCTGCAACAATTTAAAAAGCAAAAAACAATCAAATTGCCTGTTTACTTTTCAACAAGAATGACATATTCTGGAATAATAAAGCAACATATTATACCTGATCATAGAAGTAACCAAAAAGCCGTAATATGTTGGGATGTCGAAGATGACTTTGTATTTCAACTTCCCGTCGTAGCTGATGTTCAACCTGTGACTGCTGCAGCTGGCTCTTGAATAGCACTTTTAGAGCCACTATATGATTGCTCTGTTTCACAAAAAATAAACAAGCATATATCAAATTGGTGACACAATTTCCATTTTCCAGCAAACACAATCCAAGAAAGTACCAAAAGATAATTTAATAGTACACATATATAGATCATGTGAACTTTCACACACTGGAAAACAAATTGCTCTATTCTTCTGCCCAGCTGTGGATGCCAAAGATGAGCTCTCTTTTGGATCTTGGGCTTTATCAAGAATACAAGTAGCACCAAAAACACAAAAGATCGCTACTCAACCAAAGTATAAATGAACTATGATTAAACAAGCACAAATTATAAGTTTTATCACCTCTTCAATCTCAAACTTCTGTGCAACCAAATGAACGACATTTCAGACATTAGAAAGTATATTCCATGCTAGTTAAACCAAAATGAAGAAATATATATCCCTAGAGTTAGAAGCACAAATTTTACCAATTAAAGAGCTAATTTGAACCCTAAAACTCACAAAAAGTTTAAGAAGTATATCTTTATATGCAAGAAATCAAAATGAACTATGACGAGCAAGTAAACTGACCCTCTTTTCTCTAGCCAAATAGACGTGACCAAACTTTCCTCGTCCAAGAGGCTTTCCAATATCAAAGTCATTTAGAGTCCATCTTTTTTTCTCGGTTGCCGAAACCCCCGAATAAGTCTGTACAAAAGAAAAAGCAATAATTAAAACCTCACCATTAACTAAAACTTAAAACAAAAGAAAAACTAATAACTAAAAATATACCATTATCTAAAACCCATATGTTCTTGAATATAATGTATGAATACAACTATACAAGTTACTTTGTTGATTAAACACACAACCCCGATTTCAAAAAAACATATAAATTAAGATGACAACCCGAAAAATCCCCAGAATTTTGAAGCCTCCTAAGAATTTCCAATCTTTATGTATGATCAGATAATTCGAAAATCAGGAATCAGTACTTGTAAGTTGTAACTAAAAAGAAAGGCCCAAATATTCCCCGATTTCAATCAATTCTGAATTTTAAGACGATTTCTTTAATCTAAGAAAAAAAAGGGTTTGGTTCTCAAGAAAAAGAGCAAGGAGAGAAGAAAATTTCCTGGAACAATTTAAGACAATCTCCTGCCTTCCAAGAGCCCAATAGAAGAAACTTCAAAATAGAAAAGAAAAACCCTAGAATTCGAACGAGATGATTCGAAAACGTTACGCAGTCAACCACATAAACATATCTCCAAATCATCAATTTGGCTTACCTTCTCTTGCTCTGCAGCAATCGCCATTGAGGGAGAGAGAGTACGTAAGTAAGTGAATGGTTGATTTGGTATGCAGATGAAGATGGACAAAGAAAGGAACGGATCTATGGAGACACTTTGAATAAGAATTTCTCACAACGGTCGAATTAGTACGGATCGCCACGTGGTCCATCCCGCTCAAGACGCATTTCAAATATTTTTCTTTTGTGAGGAGCGTCTTCGCTGTCTTCGTATTTTGTTAGAACTTAGAATAGTGGGTCTACACTCTACAGTCACAGGCTGTGACCTAATGGTCAGAATACGTTCCATCGAGGCATGCTTATTCAATGTGACCCATGTGGGTGGCACCACTAGATTTCCTTTTTGTTTTGATCCGACGGTCTTGGTGGGGCTGTGACATGATGATCTTTTGACTTGTAGTTGGGCTTTACAACTTGTCTTTCATGCTTCCGTGGGACCTGAATTGTATACAAGATTAACGTGCCGTTGTGCTGGTGCAACCGACTTGCCGTTTAGATGAGTGTGGATGTAAACGACCTGAATTATTTCCCCCAATGATTGCAAGTGAACTATGTCTAGCTTGAAACTCAGATTATAAAATTGATACATATGTGTATATAATTTTTTTTTAACATAATTAATATTTTTTAATATTTATCCTTTTTTTTTATTTATATGACTTTAATGTGGTCAAATAAATAAATATATATATATATATATATATATATA